GGAACTACACCCCTTACATCTCTATAGCCTGCGACATTGAATGTGACCTGAGATTCCAGCTGACGGAGATGTCTCCCCAACTTCTCCAACCCCCTCGTCTTAAAGCTGAGCCCTGGGGCAGGCGCCGATTGGAGGGAGGAGGGGATGGGTCATCAGAGAGTGACCCCTGTTGGAAGTTCCAGCTGGGATGTCCCCAGTTGAGAGATGGAGACAGCCTTTCTTGAGAGATACCTTTTCTGTGCACAGCAAATGTTGGGGACGCAGGCTTCCCTCCCCATTCTGAAGGGGAACTCCTCAGACTTCAGGAGGAGAACTAGCCCTGCCTCTGTTTGGAAGATGCAAGTCACTGGCCCACCTTTTCTCCCCTGGCAGGCAGCGGAATGACACCAGAGAGCCTGCCTGGATCATCTCCTTCTCATGTTGCGGTGGAGTCAGCAGCCAGGCAGCCGTCTCGGGTAAGGGAAATGAAAGAGTCTTGTGGGGGGGGGTACACAGGGGGCGGTTTGGGTGGCCCCTCCTCAGTCCCAACCTCGAGAGGACCCCTCTGTTGTCCTTGACTTGTGGGGCTGCAACGGGTCCCTGGTGTGATCTCCTCTGGTCTTCCCCCTTGAAATGGTGAACTTGCTGGGAAACACACTCATTGTCTACATCTCCTCGTGTGTGTGTGTGGGGGGGGATCCTGGTCACATGCTCACACACAGCCCGCCTGTCATGATTCTTCAGGAAGGAAACTGTTTTCTGATTCCAGGGACAGGTGTCCTTCGAGGAGGTGGCCGTGTACTTCACCGCGGAGGAATGGGCCTTGCTGGATCCGTGCCAGAGAGCGCTGTACAGGGAGGTCATGCTGGAGAATTATTGGATGGTGGTTTCTCTGGGTAAGAATCCCCTTAAAGCCTGCTCAAGGGAAATATTGTTGTCTGTGGAAGAAGCAAAAAAGAAAATGCCCTGGATGTTCCGCATTTGGTTTTCCTGGCCAGCCATTTTCTAAAGTCTCTTTCCAGAGAGGGGAGCCCAGATCTGGTGGTTCCGTGTCAGATCCAAGTCTCTTGCCAGTTTATGAGGCACTTTTGAGAGTTCATCATCATGCCTTGTACGGCTCATATTGCACTTCTTTAAGAACCCTGCAGGGTAGGCCACCATTACTGTCCCCATATTACCGGTGGAGGATTTTAGGAGAGAAAAGAACAATTTGGCTGAGGCCAACTTGTGAGTGGGTAGAAACCAGACCTTCTCCATCCGAACCAGCACTACTCACTACGATGGGCAGCAGCTCAACAAGATTTCAGTGCGTAAAAGTATTGAAATGTAGAAGCAGAACGAGAATAAATTTTCAACGTAACATCTTGAATATAGATGCACAATGAAGTGGATCCTGAGCAGAAATAGCTTCTGCTTTCTTATTATGAAATATATGAGAGATTTTCTTCTTGAAGTCTGATACCTGCGCCCTTTTCAGACAGCCTATCCTGTCTTAGTAACTGGTTACTAACGGATTTTTCCTGTCCTTTCAGACAGATCCATTTCAGTAACCGGCTGCTTGCAGAATTTATTTACCTTTTCAGACAAACCCACTTGCCTCCCGGTGGCGAAGCCTGCCTGAACTGTTGTTGACGTAAACCACGTTCTTCCGTTTTCAATCCCTTCATTGATCTTTTGAATCGCTGTGGTGTTCTGTTTGAAATGCCTGTCGCTCTTTCTGCAGTGCCGCTTCCCCCCCTGCCTTTTTTTCGCCACTCAGGCTGTCTTCCTTGGACTTTTTGCTTTGAACGTTCCATGTTGAGTCCTGTGGCGCCTGGACTCTGTTGAGTGCGATCGTGGCTGTTGTCACCTGGAAACAAGAAGGGAGAAGTAGCTCATTGGGCAGTGGCTGCTCAGTGCGTCGGTGATTGGTGCGACAGATGTTGCTAACTGATCCTGATGTTCAGCCATCCATGCCCATGTAGACTCTGAGACATTCGGTCAAGGAGTCAACAGGCGCAGACCCTGTGAGTTCCTAGGGCAAGTGCATAGAAATAACCAAACTGATGCTCTTTAAAAGATATTTGTAGAGTTTATTGAAAAATTAGACAATGAACATATAGCCAACAGATTAAATAAGGTCAATCAGCAAACAAAACAATAAAGCTAGCTTCACCTGCCTAACGCTCTTTAGAAATCTTGTCAGGGGGCACCAAGACATAAATCCGAATGAAGGCCTCTATTTAGGGTGGTCTGTGATCTCAGCAGCTGCGAAGCACAGCGTCAGGCTTACAGTCCATGAAAATCTCAGCTAGCTAGCCAGCCTCTGGAAACATTACAATTCTGGTTTTTGGCTACTCAAGTGGAGTCATGATGATTGACGCCCAATCCCAACTTGTCTCCAGGAGAAATCTCTAGAAAACTGCATCACTGCTCGTGGTCTCCCCCGCCCCCCCAATTGCTGATGACCCACTCTCCTGGGAAGCTGGCTGCCCCTCTTCCCTCCTCGCCTTGGAGATGAGCGGGCACCAGGCAGGCCGAGGGACTCAGGAGCAGCCCCTGCAAGGAAGACCAGGCCTCTGACTGCCCACGTTAACCCTTGAGGGGAGGCAAGAATGACGCCTTACACATTAAAGGTAAAGGCTTCCCTTGCTCGAAAGCCTTACACATTACTTAGTGTCAACAGTTAGAGTGAGCAGGGAGATGGTGGCAAAACTATATGATACCAAATATCTAGTGGTCAAGGAGCTCAAAACTGAACCCCCTGGGTCCCCAAGGACAGCTGCACACGAGCAACCAGACCATTGATTAATTTTAAAACAATTTATCATGTTTATTTCAATTTCTGACAACAGGAGGATTTACTCTACTGCTAACACGCCACCCTAAACTCATGCAGTAAGAAAACAAGAAAACTAGCTCCACCATCTGACACTTTCAGGGCTTGCATTAGATGACACAAACCTTAAATTCCAGAATCAAAGGCCACAGCTCAGGCACCATGTAGGCTGCTAGCAATTGCAGTTCAAGCAGGACACCATTCAGGCCTCTCTCCATCAGGCTCTCAGGTAGCTTCTTTCACTCTGGGCCCTTGGCTGAATTATAGTTTTTGGCCCGGCAGCATCAGGTGAGGCAGCATCAAGCAGCATCACATCCATCCAGTTAGAACATGTTCTCAAAAGAAGCCTCCAGAAGATTACGTCATCACCCCTGGCTCTCCTCCACCTATCATTCCGGAGGCAGGTTCTCACGAAAAGGTCAATCACTACTTTAACTAACAGAATGAATTTAATTAGTGGAATAATTAAATTTGCTCTGTTAGAGACTACATTAACTCCTCTTCCTGATGCCACGACTGGCTCCTCTCAAAGCCCTTCTCCCTCTCTGGGCAAGGATGACCAAGCCAGAGGAGCCCGCGGACCTGCCCACCTGCGCACTCTGGGAGCCAATTCCTGTCCCAAGCCCTGCCCGACCCAAGGTCTTCCCTGACTCTTTTAACTTTTGTTCCTGTTCCCCACGGTCTGAATCTTCCTGTGGTAGCAGGAAGACCAGGCGAGGCTGCATGGCAGGTAGTGGAGGAGGAGCCCATCGAAAATAAAATGGTCAACTAAGATTCGTGGTGCGGCAGGGAAGGTTTGTGGTGGGTTGTCGCCCACAAATGCACCACAGTAGCTATGGGTCTGGACTAGGCCTTTCTTGGGCCTCTTTTCTGGACTTCTCTTAACAGAATGTGGCAGGGACTGAACCTGGGACTTTCTAGTCCTGCATTCCTAACATTTGATCTGCGTGAACATCAGAGTGATGCCATCTAGACTGCGTTGCAGGCAAGAAGGTTTGGATTTCCTGAACAATGTTCTAATCCAGATTCCAAGAAATAAATGGTGTTCATGGGAAGGGACCAGAGCTTGGGGGTGGAGCACCTGGTTTGCATGAAGAAGGTCCCCAAATCCATCCTCAGCCTCTTTAGCTAGAAAGGATCTCAAAGCAGATGGTGTGAAAATGCTGCTCTCTGCCTGAGACCTTAGAGAGCCCGAGGCATTGGGAGTGCTCAGGGCTGGGCAGGATGGGCCAGTGGTCTGACTCTGGCAGTCTCATGTTCTTCTCTCTTTCTGTTTCCAGAAGGACGCTGGGGTTCCACGCCTCCCCTCATCTCCTGGCTCCAAGAAGACGTCCTCTTTCTCCAGAGCCCTGCAGAAGACCCCCAGTCAGCAGGTCAGTGCTCTGGTCTTTGATGGGAACCCCTCTGCCTGCTGCAGGAAAACATGCATGATCATCAAGAAAAGACATGATGTAATCAAAATATTGCTACAGACAGGCTGATCAGAACAAGCCCTACAACACAGTCACAAAGAAATGCAGCAGGCAGCCTCGCCAGATGGATGCTTTGAGAGCAATGGAGAAACAAATTAATTATGTTCTGTCACCTCTTTCTTATTTTGTTGATACTCAGCAATTTTTGTAGGAGGATGACCCAAATTAGAAACCAACAAGAGAAAACAACAACAACGATTAATACTTTGCATTTATGCTGACATACAGTACAGTTTGAGGATGAATTCTTAACACCTTTGCAGCTAACCAATATTCTATCTGGACTAGTAAAAGCAGCCCTAGTTCACATCTGTCCCTCTCTGAGCGACCTCCTCCATGTTGTTTGAAAGTAGACCTAAACAATTACTTTAAAAATAAATGCTGGTATTCCCTATAATAACAAATCCATTTTCTTTCCTGAAGACAAAGGTAGGCTCTTCCTGCCCATCACTTCATTAAGCTCTTTTCATTCCTTCAGGTGACATTTGGGGGACCGAGACTGAGGAGGAAAATTTGAGGATGTCACTTGGTGGAGTAGCAGAAACAGCACAGTTGGGCAGTGAAGACGGTGAAAAGATGCTGGAGGGAAAGCAGACACAGAAGAAGGGAGATTCATCCACAGCTCTACGGAAAACGGAAAGTCAAGTCAAACTCTGCAATGGAAAAAAGAGGAGAAAAAGTACTAAGTGTGGGAATCATTTCAGTCTTGATGGACATCAAAACATTGACAGAGGACAAAAATGTTATCAATGCCTGGAATGTGGAATGAGTTTCAGTAGGAGTTCATACCTTATCTCCCATCAAAGAATCCACACAGAAGAGGAACCATATCAGTGCTCAGAGTTTGGAAGGAGTTTCCATAGAAGTGGCTCCCTCACATCCCATCAAAGAATCCATACGGGAGAGAAACCATATCAGTGCTCAGAGTGTGGAAGGAGTTTCCATAGAAGGGGCTCCCTCACTTCCCATCAAAGAATCCATACAGGAGAGAAACCATATCCGTGCTCAGAGTGTGGAAAGCATTTCAGGCAGAGTTCTGCCCTCTCTTACCATCAAAGAATCCATACAGGAGAGAAACCATATCAGTGCTCAGAGTGTGGAAGGAGTTTCCATAGAAGTGACTACCTCACATTCCATCAAAGAATCCATACAGGAGAGAAACCATATCAGTGCTCAGAGTGTGGAAGGAGTTTCCGTAGAAGGGGCTCCCTCACTTCCCATCAAAGAATCCATACAGGAGAGAAACCATATCCGTGCTCAGAGTGTGGAAAGCATTTCAGGCACAGTTCTGCCCTCACTTCCCATCAAAGAATCCATACAGGAGAGAAACCATATCAGTGCTCAGAGTGTGGAAGGAGCTTCAGTCAGAGTGGCTCCCTCACTACCCATCAAAGAATCCATTCAGGAGAGAAACCATATCAGTGCTCAGAGTGTGGGAAAAGCTTCAGTCAGAGTTGCTCTCTCACTTACCATCAAAGAACACACACAGAGGAGAAACCATCTCAATACTGAGAATGTGGAAAGAGCTTCACTCAGAGCGACACACTGATTTTACATGAAACACTCCACATAGAGCAGGGATTCTATCAGTCTTCCCACTAAGCTGTAGGCATGAATGTCGGTCATTAACCAAATAAATACTCTAAATGTAGGAAGTATTTTCTTTGCATTGTACATCTTATCTTCCCGTGGAGAGTAACATTTACCCTTTTAAATAGTTTATTTTCTGTTAAATAAATCTTTATCACCATCTTTCTTGTCTGTCTAGTACAATGTCTTGGAAAACGTGATTTCAGTTTATCTCAGAAATAGTAACAGCCTTGGTCTAGCTGGTTCCCAAATCAGAGATGTTTAGGGAGAGCACATCGTATATGCTACCAATCCTTTATCAAAGCTTGTATTCCCCTTTTTGTTTGAGTGTAGTTCTTTGTGGTTTGAAGAATAAGAACATAAGAGAAGCCATGTTGGATCAGGCCAGTGGCCCATCCAGTCCAACACACTGCATCACACAGTGGCCAAAACCCGGATGCCAACAGGAGGTCAGCGTGGCCCCACTGTATGTTTGTGTGGTAAGAGCTACTTTGGGAAGACAACCTTCGATTGATCTTATTTTGAGTGGGTGAAGCCATATAAATACCCAAGGAAGGTAAATTAGTTCCAGCTAATGGGAGAGCTTTGTTAGTGAATGGCCCTTTTACAGGTATGAAAGAGCTCTCAGGACTGCAACCAGGTAAGTACTCTTTGTGAGAGAACATGCATGCTGAAATCCAGTTCTTTCGGATAGTCTCTCTTTCTCTCTCTGCTCTCTAGACAAAGAACAGTAAATAACAGTCCTCTCTGGGTATTGTTTCTGGGAGGATATAAGGAGCATGGCCTTTTGTATGACCTTTAACTCTCCCCAAGGAGATCCAACAGCCAAGAAATCATTACATCTTTAGAAGGCAGATAAAAATGTTCTCTTTTGTCAGCTTTTAAAACCTTCTGTTAATTGTTAATGGATATTTTCTCTGCTGGTTTAATATTTCTAAGGGGTTGGGGGGAGAGCTTGATAAATTTCATGGATTTTCACTGGATGAAGGCCTTCAGCCCCTTTTCAGGTGTTTATGCTATGTCAAAATCGGTTAAATGCACATTATGATCTAGTCCACGCCTTGGGGGCAACTCCTGAAAAGGCCCTGCCATCGTCTCCTGTACACAAGACCTCCGATGACTGGCCACACCCATCCATTGCAAATCGTAGGCAGGCTTCTATTCCTGTAGAGACCCAACTAGGTGTCTGTGCATGACCACTGGGATGTGGGTGGCTTCTTCTGTCTGGCTGAGCTGCCCGGCCTCTCCAACCCGTGTCCTTTGGATGCCGCCCCTTGCCCAGGTCAGCTTGAGGCTTGGTAGGCCATGGCTGAGAATCATTCTTGAATGTTTCTGTGAGGAAGGGCAGAGAACTGCTGAGAACTAAAAATGCTGTGAGCTCAAAAATGAATCAAGGCATCAGTTGTCCCACCAAGGAGGGTTCGCTCTTGAAAAAATACCTACACTGTTTCATGTAAGGGGGGGTATTAATGTTTAAAATGCGTATTTAAAATAACTAAGAAGGGTGTCGGCAGGAAGGATTAATCATCAAAGAAGGACCGTCCCTGTGTGTGTTTCTGTGGGAAGGGGACTTTAATGTGTGGAGTTTTTTTTAATGGTCTGTAAACCACAGAGGGAGTGGGAGGTATAAATAAGGCCACGGGGTCTCCCGGTAGAAATGAGAGGGGAAGGGTCTGCTTGTACAAAACCAAGTCCCTCAAGCAAAAGATAAGTAAAGGATTTCTTTCTCCCCCAAATGGGGCTGTGGCCCCCATACATTAAGGCAACCAGCCCCACCGGTGACCCACCTCCTCTCTGCAACCACCCCCCACACAACTTGATTCACTCCAGCGATGGTTTTCCAGGCCTGCATGTCTGCCTGAGATTCAGTCTCCTACCAGGAGGACTTAGCAGTTGAGAGCTCCCCTCAACTGTGGCCGCACTACGGGAAATCTGGGCATTCCTCAGATGAACACATTCATCCGATAAAGAATTTGGTCTGGGTATTTAATGAGTGATCCAGTTTCCTTTGGAGGAGTGGGGCTCTCATCTCCAAGTGAGGCTGTTTGTGTGTTTACTTGACGTATACCCCATTTCTCTGTCCCAAGGGACCCACAGAGACTTACATTATTCCCCCCTTCTCTGCCTGAATTTTTGAAGTATACTTCAATATTAAACATAAGTTATAAAAATATAAATTAATATAATACAGGTTTGTTAAAATAATTTCAGAACATTCAAAAAGCCAATGTTGGATCGGGCCAATGGCCCATCCAGTCCAACACTCTGTCACACAGCGGCCAAAAATACCAGGTGCCATCAGGAGGTCCAGCAGTGGGGCCAGGACACTAGAAGCCCTCCCACTGTTGCCCCCCCCAAGCACCAAGAAGACAGAGCATCACTTGCCCCAGACTGAGAGTTCCTATCTGTACCTTGTGGCTAATAGCCACTGATGGACCTCTGCTCTATATGTTTATCTAATCCCCTCTTGAAGCTGTCCATGCTTGTAGCCGGCACCACCTCCTGTGGCAGTGAATTCCATGTGTTGATCACTCTTTGGGTGAAGAAGTACTTCCTTTTAGCTGTTCTAACCCGACTGCTCCGCAATTCCATTGAGTGCCCACGAGTTCTTGAGTTTATTTGTGAATTGAACTATATTTGTTTATAACATCAGAATTTAACACATATTTATCTTTAATTAATCACAGTGGTTTCAGATATACTATATATTTTTGCACACTGTGTTCCCTTTGATTTGGTCACCCCTCAGATACGGCAGCACCATTCCCTTCAGGACTTCCACTTCACAGGCCAACAGCTCCTAAATCTCTACAGCCTACTCTGTCAGATACGGCCCCCTCTTTGTTGGTCCCCCAACTGATATGCAGCAGCATGAGACCCCTGAACAGGTAGGTTCCATTTATCTTTACCATAATCTTTGGCATCCCTATCAAATGTTCTGATCTTAAATTCCTGTAAATAGTTTCAAATTGCTTAACTAAATCATCAGTCTCTTTAAGTTAAGCCTGTAAAACTCTTCCAGTAGACTGTGCAGCTTTCCAGCAGACTAATGTGTTTCCCAGGTTAAATCACATTCCCAATCTTCATCAGAGTCAAGAATAACCATTTCCATATGGAGCTAGTAAATCATAAAAAAACAAATATATGCCACCTGTAGAAGAAGAAGAAATTGGATTTATACCCCACCCTTCACTACCAGAGCGGCTTACAAACTCCTCTCCCTTCCCCTCCCCACAACAGACACCCTGTGAGGTAGGTGGGGCTTTTGCCCTACGAGGCTACTACTTTGCTTTTATGAACTTATGTGTTATGAAACGTCTGACCTGTGCTAGTTGTGTGCAACTAGCTGCACGCATACACAGCATTGAATAGCCAGGCTGCTGCCATGCCAGGCAAAAAGACAGGGGACCCAGACTCCATGAAGGACCCCCCTCTTGTGCACTTAAGCGTTTGTCCCCACCTAATACATCACCTAGTCGAAGCCACAGACATGAGACAACAAGAGAACAATGCCCCTGGCCAACGGAAGACATAATCCCATCCCAATAGGAAGTTCGCTCAGAGGAGCCCTGGTCTGGCTCGAAGCTTAACATAGGAGTCCTATGAGGTGATTCATGTAATCGTTTCAATACATTACAACAGGGGACCCAGATTCCATGAACGATCCCCTTCCTGTGCACGTGTTTGTCCCCACCTAATACATCAGCTCGTCGAAACCACAGACATGAGACAACAAGAGAACAATGCCACTGGCCAACAGAAGACATAATCCCATTGGATGCCATTGTTTAACTTAGTTTCCCATTAGATTCAACATTGACCAGCCCTGTGAACCCTGGACCCCAGTACCAATCAACATATTTTTGGGGACGGACTACGGGGAAGCTGCCAAGGCAGGTAGCCAACCTTCAGCCCACTCCCCCTATAAAAGGAGCTGTGCAGCACTAGCTCTCTCTCTCAGCTCCACCACCCAACCGCTTCTTACCTGAAGTGTCAGACTCTTGGTTGCGCGGCCAGAGTCTTACTGTGAGCCTGCCGGTTCAGGACACGGACCCTTCCCCCAGTATCCCATAACCCTCTCATTTTCCTGAGACTCACTACTTCCGACTGCAGGACAGGTAGAGTATCACCCATCGTTGAAATCTCCTGCTAATACGAATATTCTATCTATATTTCCTAGATACTGTGTAATTGTATGTGTGTAAGTGTTATTGTATGCCTGAAATACAATTAGTAAACAAAATCAATTTATACTGACATCAATCTCAGCGTCTATTTGGCGGGTCGGGAGAATTCTGCGCCCCTGTATACATAGACGCGTGCCCCCGCAATTGCCTATTGCCTGATTTAAGATAATAACTCCCCATATTAAATAACAATTTAAGGCAATTCGGCTAACAGGGCTGAGAGAGCTCTGACAGAAACTGCTATTTTTCAAGGACAGCTCTTATCAGAACTACGGCTTGCCCAAGATCATCCAGCCAGGTGCAAGTGGAGGAGTGGGGGAGGAGTGGAATCAAACCCGGTTCTCCCAGATTAGAGTTCACGCACTTAACCACTACACCAAACTGGCTCTCTTTTGAATAATAATACAAAACTTCAAAATACATAATACACAACAAAACGACATACAAACTCATCCAAATTCTCACCACTTCCCATAATAGAGGAGCTAACTGCTTCACACTCAGAAGGGTTGGTAACAGCTCTTAATACTTACTACTACTCAAAAGCATAAATTGTTGGCTTGTGTTGATTGTTTTCAGCTGTGCTCAAAATATCAGTCCTTTTTTTATTTTAAAGGGCTACTACTACTAACTACTCACAAAATGAAAACAAACCCTACACTTTAAACAGGTACAACACCATGTCAGAGAACTAAACACATCAATTTCAAAGCTAAATCCAAATCATTAAAATTACTCAATTCAACAGGTAAGTCTTCTGAAAAAAGAGTGGCAACAAGGCGACCTGAAA